ACAATGATCAACAACCAATTTGTGTGGAAAGCTCTTAGAGACTTACCCAGAAAGACTTACAGCTATAATCACTGCCAAAGGTGCTCCTACAAAGTATTGACTCAGGGATGTGAATACTTATGTAAATGAGATATTTCTGTATTTCATTTTCAATTAATTAGCAAACATTTCAAAAAACATATTTTTAATTTGTCATTATGGGGTATTGTGTGTAGATGGTAAAAACAAAATGCATTTAATAATTTTTTTATTCAGGCTGAAACACAAACAAATGTGGAATAAGTCAAGAGGTATGAATACTTTCTGAAGGCACTGTAGATCACTTTATTTCCCGGTTCTGCTTCTGTTCCTCGAAATTTTTTATTATTTTTCAGTTTTCGATTCTGTTCCCTGAACCATGTCCAACCAATGTGTTGAGGTCCAGATTTGAATTTGACTATGCCCATTTTCCATCCATAAGAAGATGTCCGCAGTCAGAAGATGTCAGGCTTTCAGGGAAGCAAAGGATCACATGCTTTAGTTCTAGCCCAGCACTTAAACTCCTGATTCAACAAATATCAACGTCAATGGAGAATCTCTTCAGTTTTCAGGGATTACAGTGGCTTGCGAAAGTATTCACCCCCCTTGGCATTTTTCCTATTTTGTTGCCTTACAACCTGGAATGAAAATTGATTTTGGGGGGGTTTGTATAATTTGATTTACACATCATGCCTACCACTTTGAAGATGCAAAATATTTTTTCTTGAAACAAACAAGAAATAAGACAAAAAAACGGAACTTGAGCGTGCATAACTATTCACCCCCCCCAAAGTCAATACTTTATAGAGCCACCTTTTGCAGCAATTACAGCTGCAAGTCTCTTGGGGTATGTCTCTATAAGCTTGGCACATCTAGCCACTGGATTTTTGCCCATTCTTCAAGGCAAAACTGCTCCAGCTCCATCAAGTTGGATGGGTTCCGCTGGTGTACAGCAATCTTTAAGTCATACCACAGATTCAAAATTGGATTGAGGTCTGGGCTTTGACTCGGCCATTCCTAGACATTTAAATGTTTCCCCTTAAACCACTTGAATGTTGCTTTAGCAGTATGCTTAGGGTCATTGTCCTGCTGGAAGATGAACCTCCGTCCCAGTCTCAAATCTCTGGAAGACTGAAACAGGTTTCCCTCAAGAATTTCCCTGTATTTAGCGCCATCCATCATTCCTTCAATTGGTGTTCTCGGGGTGATGAGAGGTGTTGGGTTTGCGCCAGACATAACGTTTTCCTTGATGGCCAAAAAGCTCAATTTTAGTCTCATCTGAGAAGAGTACCTTCTTCCATATGTTTGGGGAGTCTCTTTAAGCGATGGCTTTTTTTCTGGCCACTCTTCCGAAAAGCCCAGCACTGTGGAGTGTACGGCTTAAAGTGGTCCTATGGACAGATACTCCAATCTCCGCTGTGGAGCTTTGCAGCTCCTTCAGGGTTATCTTTGGTCTCTTTGTTGCCTCTCTGATTAATGCCCTCCTTGCCTGGTCCGTGAGTTTTGGTGGGCGGCCCTCTCTTGGCAGGTTTGTTGTGGTGCCATATTCTTTCAATTTTTTTATAATGGATTTAATGGTGCTCTGTGGAATGTTCAAAGTTTCTGATATGTTTTTATAACCCAACCCTGATCTGTACTTCTCCACAACTTTGTCCCTGACCTGTTTGGAGAGCTCCTTGGTCTTCATGGTGCTGCTTGCTTGGTGGTGCCCCTTGCTTAGTGGTGTTGCAGACTCTGGGGCCTTTCAGAACAGGTGTATATATACTGAGATCATGTGACCGATCATGTGACACTTAGATTGCACACAGGTGGACTTTAACTAATTATGTGACTTCTGAAGGTAATTGGTTGCACCAGATCTTATTTAGGGGCTTCATAGCAAAGGGGGTGAATACATATGCACGCCAAATTTTTCCGTTATTAATTTTTTTGAATTTTTTAAAGAAAGTTATTTCTTTCATTTCACTTTATCGATTTTGACTTTTGTGTATGTCCATTACATGAAATCCAAATAAAAATCCATTTAAATTACAGGTTGTAATGCAACAAAATATGAAAAACGCCAAGGGGGATGAATACTTTTGCAAGGCACTGTATTTCAGTGTTATTGGCAGTAGCCTATGTTTTCCTGCAAAATGTAGCACAAAACGGGAAAATGACATTCAGTGATACTTTTCAATGGCACTTTTTATGACTGTGTAAATAGAAAATGTATGCCAGTATTTAAATGTCATGACCTCGCAAATTACATGTTTAGTTAGACCTATATCTTGTGAAATATCATTGGGAAGACGTATTAGAAATGTTAGTAGCAATAGTTGTTGTTCAAACTGTTCAGTCAACCGAGCCATGGGGCTGAGTAGTTGGGTGTCATAGTGATGCCACTGCAGCTCTGGTCATTTATAGCTTCTATTCACTTACACAGTCAAAGGTTGCATCCTAAATGGACCCCTTTTCCCTATGTAGTGCATATTAGGACAGCAGGTAGTCTAGAGGTTAGAGCGTTGGCTATGTGACAAAACATGTATTCATTTTTTTGCATCTTTTTTAAAAGGAGTGCGCTATAGGGAATAAGGGGCCATTTGGGACACATCCAAATACTCCTGGATTCAGTAGGGCCTAGGGAGCATGCGTTCCGCCATACCATGCTGCTGGCCTCATTGTGTGTGCGCACATGATTAATGCTGTCCATCGCAGAGACTTGGTGCTGAATTCCATTATGTGGAGAGTGAGGCAGGCAGGGTTTTGTGTGCGCATTCTTGCGGTTGTCATTCTTTCTCTCATTTTATCAATTTGCATTTGTGGCCGAATCCAGCCAAATTCACCCTACCTCCACTGCAGGGCATTCGGGGCATTTCTCTGTTGGTCTTGTGTGGGTCCACATGAGCTATTATCCACTAGCTATTAGGCTAGCTGTAGAGCTCGTCTCAGCAGCTTGCTAGCCAGCGTTGTGGATTAGCTTCAAGCTAATTAGCTGTATCTAGCTACATTACTAGCTAGCTTAGCCAATGCTATAACATCTGTAAAGAGTCTTTACCTTGTTAATAGATTTGGCTTTTATTAGAGGAACGCATTGACCAAGAGATAATATGTAGGCAGTCTATATTTCTATACACACCCATTAACCGCTAAGGGATCGGTGTACCGTATACGGGATGGTTGAGCTAACATGCGCTAATGTGATTAGCATGACTGTTGTAAGTAACAGCAAACTTTCCAGGACATAGACATGTCTTATATGGGCAGAAAGCTTACATTCTTGTTAATCTAACTGCACTGTCCAGTTTACAGTAGCTGTTACAGTGAAAAAATACCATTCTATTGTTTGAGGAGAGTGCACAACAACAAAAAACGTATCATGGCAACTAGTTTAATACATTCAACTCTGAAGGTAAATAATGTACTTACATTCAGTAATCTTGCTCTGATTTGTCATCCTGAGGGTCCCAGAGATAAAATGTAGCATAGTTTTGTTTGATAAAATCAATTTTTATATTCAAATGTAGGAACCGGGTTCTACAGTTTGAACCCTTGCTGTCTCTGTCTCCACACCCACCCCACCCGGACATCTAGATGTGTGAAAGTTATTGTATAAGCTAATGATCCATCATGTATGACATTCCTGGGAGTGTGTAAACTTACATTTTGTATTACCATATAATTTTTGTATGTTCTCTATAGTTATGTACTTTAAAATGTATAAATTGACCAATTCGGCACATTTGGGAGACTTAATACAGAATAGTCCAGTATTGCAATGCTTCACTGGATCAATCTGAAACTTTGCACACACACTGCTGCCACCTAGTGGCCAAAATCTGCGCCTAAACTCCAATATTATATTGTGGCCTTTCTCTTGCATTTCAAAGATGATGGAACAACAACAAAAATAGAAAATGTATGTTTTTTTGTTTGTATTATCTTTTACCAGATCTAATGTGTTATATTCTCCTACATTAATTTCACATTTCCACAAACTTCAGTGTTTCCTTTCAAATGGTATTAATAATATGCATATCCTTGCTTCTGTTCCTGAGGTACAGGCAGTTAGATTTGGGTATGTCATTTTTGGCGAAAATTTGAAAAAAAAGGGTCCACTCTTTAAGAGATTAAAAAAAACACACACAAAAAAAAAAAGTTTCCCAGGTGCTGGATCTGAAAGGGTAACGTAGAACAAAACTATAAATCCGCACACTGTTATGATGGTCCCAACGTCTTTAAGACAAGGACAATGTTTCGACTCCAAACTAGGTCGTCATCATGATTGACTGATTTTGGCCGTGCAGTGAACCACCGTGTGCCAAATGGCAGAGAAGTGATTTTATTTTTAAGAAGTAGGTCTACTTGAAACCCTGCAGTCATTTGGAAACATGGGCCTGTCATCTCTTCTCTTTTGGAACTTGAATTGGAGCAACACACAGTTGGGAAACTCAGAGAGATATAAAGTCATCCCTCCTCCTTCCTCCTTCAGACCCAGTCGCTAATGAATGTCTTATATGGACATCAATTTACATCACAAATATATGAATGATGAATAGATGTGTACCTTTAGCTATTAGATGGAAGTTCCTCTGTATATCAGGGTCTTGTGAGGACTGTCGTGTATGCGTGCTTGTGTGCTAGCAATGTGCGATAAAAGTGTTAAACGTGTGTGTGTGTGTGTGTGACAGGAGGAGTGTATGAAGTGTAAAATGGGCTGAAATCACGAATGTCTCATGCTGTTACAGATTGCTGTGTTGTCCATGCACACATGCAGATGCTATTCAGAACTTCAAATGTGTTACCTATGCATCTGGTTCAAGACCGTTGACCATTTCTAATCTCTCTCTCCTCCCTCTCCATCCCTTTCCATCTCCCCCTCTCGCTTTCTTGTTCCATGTCTCTCCTTCCCGGTCCCTCTTTCTCCTTCCCGGTCCCTCTTTCTCCTTCCCTGTCCCTCTTTCTCCTTCCCTGTCCCTCTTTCTCGATCTCTCTGTCTGTAGGAGCAGCGTCTGCGCTACCTGAAGCAGCAGGAGCGGCGGCAGCAGCAGTCGGTGTCTGAAAGCGAGAAGCTGCAGAGGCTCAAGGATCGCGTGGAGAGCCAGGAGGCCAAGCTTAAGAAGATCCGCGCCATGAGGGGCCAGGTGGACTACAGCAAAGTCATCAACGGCAACCTGTGTAAGTTTACACGCATATAAACACTCTCCCAAACTCAGCCACGTTTACGCTGTGTCCATCCACCTCTCCCCAACTCACCTCTACACTGTGTGTCCACGTGTGTGTATGTGCGTCCCATGTTATCCACAATGTGTGTACTATGGACGACAATGGAAATAAGTAATTCAACTTTTTTTTGTCATGCCCAATGATTTTATATATCAGGTTGTATTTTGATGTGGCGGTTTCCTGGACACAGGTTAAGTCTAGTCCTGGATTTAAAAGTACATTGAAAATCCTTTTAAATCAAGGATTAGACTCAAAATGTGTGTGGGAAACTGCCCCTATATGTGTGTAAAAGTTGTCAAATAAACTAAATCCTCCTCCCTCCACCCCTAAAGCGGCGGAGATTGAGCAGGTGAGTGGGCTGTTCCAGGAAAAGCAGGTGGAGCTGCAGTCAGCCGTGCTGCGGGTGGAGCAGCTGAGTCTGCAGCTGGAGGACCTGCGGCGGGGAAAGCTCAACGGCCTGCAGTCTGCGCTGGGAGGACAGGTCACCAGCACTGCAGCCCTGGAGCTGCGCAAACTCTACCAGGAGCTGCAGGTAGAGTTTAGTGTTCTGTACTACTCTACCATCAGAAACCCTGCTCCAGTGCCCAACTTTTGATCCAGATCAAAATGATCCTGTGTTCCCCCATTCAATGTTGTTCCCCTTCATTTTAGAAAGGCAATATTTTCACCCAAATGTCATGGGATCACAGCTCAGCCTTCAACACCATAGTGCCCTCCAAGCTCATCACTAAGCTCGGGGCCCTGGGTCTGAACCCCGCCCTGTGCAACTGGGTCCTGGACTTCCTGACGGGCCAACCCGAAGTGGTGAATGTAGGCAACAATACCTCCGCTACGCTGATCCTCAACTCGGGGGCCCCACAAGGTTGCGTGCTCAGCCCCTTCCTGTACTCCCTGTTCACCCATGACTGCGTGGCCACACACGTCTCCAACTCAATCATCAAGTTTGCAAACAACACAACAGTGGTTGGCCTGATTACCAACAACGACAAGACATCCTACAAGGAGGTGTTGGGGGTACTGGCGGAGTGGTGCCAGGAAAATAACCTCTCCCTCAACGTCAACAAAATGAAGGCGCTGATCGTGGACTTCAGGAGACAGCAGAGGGAGCACCCCCCCATCCACATCAACGGGGCAGCAATGGAGAAGGTGAAAAGCTTAAAATTCCTCGCCGTGCACATCACTGACAACCTGAAATGGTCCATCCACACAGACAGTGTGGTGAAGAAGGCACAACAGTGCCTCTTCAAACTCAGGAAGCTTAAGAAATTTGGCTTGGCCCCTAAGACCCTCACAAACTTCTACAGATGCACCATTGAGAGCATCCTGTCGGGCTGTATCACTGCCTGGTACGGCAACTGCACCATCCGCAAACGAGGGCTCTCCAAAGGGTGGTGCTGTCAGCCCAAAGCATCACCGGAGGCACACTGACTGCCCTCCAGGACATCTGCAGCACCCGGAGTCACAGGAAGGCCAAGAAGATCATCAAGGACCTCAGCCACCCGAGCAACGGCCTGTTCACCCCGCTACCATCTAGAAGGCGGAGACAGTACAGGTGCATCAAAGCTGGTACGAGAGACTGAAAAACAGCTTCTATCTTTGGCCATCAGACTGTTAAATAGTTACCACTAGCCGACCTCCGCCCAGTGCCCTGCCCTGAACTTCAGTCACTGTTACTAGCCAGCTACCACCTGGTACTCAACCCTGCACCTTAGAGACTGCTGCCCTATGTACATAGTCATTGAACACTGTTTTACCCCACTTCATATGTATATACTGTATTCTAGTCAAGGCTCATCCTATATAACTACTGCTGTACACAACTTTTCTATTCATATACTGTCCATAATGTCTATAAACACATCATACTGTACTATATATATTTATATTCCAGACTCTGACATTGCTCGTTCTAATATTTCTATATTTCTTAATACCTTTTTTTTTTAGATTTTTTGGGATTTGCATGTATTGTTAGGTATTACTGCACTGTTGGAGCTAGGAACATAAGCATTTTGTTACACCCGTAATAACATCTGTAAAATATGTGAACGCGATTTGATTTGTTGTATTGTATGATGTGATATGTTAGAGATTTGGTCCAGTCTTATAATTGCATCCAAAAAGAGGAGGGACCACATCTGAAGGGGGAGCGGAATTTAACACAACACAGGATCATTTTGATAGGGATGAATTGTTTTGAAAAACTGGGCACAGGGGCCTCGGTGGGTTGGTCCAGCGATCTAAGCCGCTGCCTCTGGATCACATGTACTGCTTACTACCGTTGCAAGCATGGGTCTCTCTCCTCCTATCAACTAATCTCTCTCAATTCTGTCGAATAAACAAAAGAATGCGAAAGGATTAGGACTGCCCCAAAATAAACCCTGCTTCAGACTCATTAAAACGCTACCCTTCGAATCTTTCCCTGCGTCCGAATCATCTGTCCATTCTCCCAAAGTTTGCACTTGTGCACTCCTTCCCGTGCATTAAAAAACTTTGGATTGGTAAGCGAAACAAACACAAAGGACTATCTGCTTAGTCGTTTCTTCTGTGTGAACTGATGCGCTTTTCAGAAAAGTGCAACTTCAAAACTGAAGCATTGCAAAGTTCACAATGGGGAAACTACTCTGCGGTCTGCTGCTTGTGGACAGCAAACTAGATGATAAATATACTTTTGGATTATAGGGGTTATGTTTGTGCCTGTGCACACATGCGTGTCTTGGCCAGGTTTCGGCGTACTCATGTGGGTGGTGTGGAAACCAGTTTGTCTATTTACTTCCTATATTCATACCTGTGTGCTAACTTTTTTTTTATCTCTTTCTATTCTCTGTGTGTGTGTGTGTGTGTGTGTGTGTGTGTGTGTGTGTGTGTGTGTGTGTGTGTGGGCGTGCGTGTGTATCACCCTCAGATCCGGAACAAGCTGAACCAGGATCAGAACAGCAAGCTACAGCAGCAGAAGGACCTGCTCAACAAGCGCAACATGGAGGTGACACTCATGGACAAGCGCATCGGCGAGCTGCGGGAGCGCCTCTATAAGAAAAAAGCTGAGGCACGTCAAAAAGAGAACTCACCTGTAAGGCTAGGAACGGACAATGCATAAACACACTCACACTAAGAAACACACACACACACACGGCACACACGGCAAACATAGCCTCTTACAAATAAAAGCTGGTCTAGTAGTGCACAACACACACGCCCACACGGACACAAACACTCTCACCTGTCATATGTATGCGTACGCTCACTTCTTTTGGCTCTTTTGGGACATTCAAAAGATGGTAAAGTGCCAATCTGTTTGCTATCAGTATCATGCCAACGCATTGCCATGCCAAACATGAATTGTTTGGCATGACAATGCCTAAAGAGTTGGCAAGAGAGCAGAAACAGACTGGAACCCAGGATACTGAGTTCCCTTAAACAGGACAAAATACAAGAAAATAACAACAAGACACAATACACATCAATACACAATACACACACTTACGATGGGGTCCATTACTTCATATTGATACTAACCCTAATCTCTCCCTCTATCTCCCCTTTCTCTGTGGTCCCCCTCGCTCTCCCCATCCCCTTTCTCTGTGGTCCCCCTCGCTCTTCCCATCCCCTTTCTCTGTGGTCCCCCTCGCTCTTCCCATCCCCTTTCTCTGTGGTCCCCCTCGCTCTCCCCATCCCCTTTCTCTGTGGTCCCCCTCGCTCACCACATCCCCTTTCTCTGTGGTCCCCTCGCTCTCCCCCATCCCTTTCTCTGTGGTCCCCTTGCTCTCCCCATCCCCTTTCTCTGTGGTCCCCTCGCTCACCCCATCCCCTTTCTCTGTGGTCCCCTCGCTCTCCCCATCCCCTTTCTCTGTGGTCCCCCTCGCTCTCCCCATCCCCTTTCTCTGTGGTCCCCCTCGCTCTCCCCATCCCCTTTCTCTGTGGTCCCCCCTCGCTCTCCCCCATCCCCTTTCTCTGTGGTCCCCCTCGCTCTCCCCATCCCCTTTCTCTGTGGTCCCCTCGCTCACCCCATCCCCTTTCTCTGTGGTCCCCCTCGCTCTCCCCATCCCCTTTCTCTGTGGTCCCCTCGCTCTCCCCATCCCTTTCTCTGTGGTCCCCTCGCTCACCCCATCCCCTTTCTCTGTGGTCCCCCTCGCTCTCCCCATCCCTTTTTTTCTGTGGTCCCCTCTCACTCCCCTCCCTCCACATTCTCGCTTTCTCTCTGTGGTCCCCTCTTTCTCCATTTAGCTGAACAGGACCAACGGGCCTCCCTCTCCCCAGCCGGCCCCTGGGACTCTGGGCCGGGTGGCAGCCGTGGGGCCCTACATTCAGGTCCCCGTGCCGGGTAGACAAGAGGGAGGCTACACTGGACCCCCCGAACCTATGAAACCCCAGACACTGGGTGTCAACGCCCCAGCCAATCATGCCCGCTCCAAATCAGGTTGGTCTACCTTGCCATCATGGACTCTCTTCACTCGGTATGGTATAGGGTGAAGTTGCCCCTAGATGTTGATCTTGGGTCAGTTTTGCATTATTCCTACTAATGGTTAAGGTTAGGATTGGGGCACTGGAAGCTGTTCCTAGATCTGTACCTAAATCAAACTTCACCTCAGAGCACTCTGTGTGGTTGGTTTTCCAATAACCTGACATATTACTCACCTGTATTTGTTGCCCTCTCATGCTCTCTCCTATGATTCAATCTCTTTTTCTCTTAACTTTTCTCTGTCTTTACGTTTGTACTCTTTCTGTCTTTGGCTCTACTTCAAGACAGCCATAATGACTTGACTATGGATGTATTTGATAGTGGTTGGGAGGGACACATGAAGACCTCTAGACTAATTATTGAGCTTCCTAGATAACTGTAGTCCTCATGTTTTCCCCAGGAACACAATTGGTCAATTCATGTCACCAATTGTCCCAGGCATGGTCTAGAACAGGTACTGATTAAAATACAAAAAATCAGCAAACACAGAGTGCTGCACCCCTGGTCCAAGTCCTTATCATACAGTTAGGACTACACATTTGCATGGTAATTTCCCCTGTAAATCTGATACAATATTTATACCGAATGTCATGGATATAGCAGGATCTTTGTTTTAACTTATGTGATATGTTAAAGATTTGCTTTTGTTTTGTCATAAAACTGCATCCAAAAATGAGGAGGGACCACATCTGAAGGAGCAGCAGAATTTAACACAACATAGGATAATTTTGATCTGGCTTAAATATTTTGAAAAACTGTGCCCAGAGCAGGCAGTGTCCATCAGGAGGACTAAGAGCAGCCTCCCAGTCTCAAATCCACTGGCCCCCGTGATCGCCATCCCCAGTGATCCTGAAGCCCATGTCGCTCTCCTTACAGGCTTTTCAGTTGATACTGATTCATTACTTTTTTCTTTCTTTATCTCTCTCCTCTAACCTTCTTCTCTCCCCTTTTTTACTCTGTGGTGTATCCTGTGTTTCCCTCCCTCCGTCCTTCCCTTCTCTTTCCCGTCCCGTGCTGTGGTGTCCTGTGATTGTCTTTGTTCCACTTGGGCGGGGCGACACCCCTACTCCTATCCCTATCTACCACGTTCGTCCAGGGGCGGACACAGTGCGAAAGCCCCTCGGCCCGTGGAAGGTGTCAGATTTAGACATCGTGGTGGACCCACTGCCCCCTTCCCCTCTGGATGCGCGGTCGGGTGGCTCGGACGGCACGTCCCGTGAGTGTGGCAGGTTGCATAGGTGTAGGGTGAAGTTGCCCCTAGACACTGATCCTGGATAGGAATGGGGATAGTGGATGCTGGTCCTAGATCTATATCTAGGGGAAACTTCATCCTGGAGCGTATGCCTAGCGGGAGGGACGGACGGCTCTTTGAACCTTATCTCTGCAGTAGTGGGCAGGATCCTCAGCATGTGACTTATTAGACACTGGTCTTTACACATTCGCAAACTCTAGCTCGCAACGTCAGTAGTGTTTTTTTTAAGGACACTTAACTCTCTTGCTAGCCTGGTGAAACCATCCTGATTGCTACGCTCACCATTCTGTATCAAACAGAATGTGAGCGATCACGTTATAAAGTTATGAGTTACACAACACATAGACACAGATTACATGTATTTTTTTATTATTTACTGAAAGTGCTCCATCTTGAAAACTTAACTGCTGAGGGACCTAATGGAATAAAATAATTAAATGTTTTTTGGAGTGGATCCTCAGAATAATTATTACCATAAACATAGTAGGCTATTCAGTAGACCTAGTGGGCTACACACTTACAGAGGACGATAGGTTAATACAACATAAAATAAACTAGTCAAAACTAAAACGGTGCTGGCTAGCCGGTGTATTTTATTTTTGATGAGGCTCCAAGTCGAACATAATACTAAAATGTTTTGTAGTTTTTTTAAAGTGATCCTATTACAGTCACAGCTCACAGACGTGGCGCACACTCACACATGTACAACTGGAACCCTTCATATTACAGCAATCAATATTACCCTGCAAGGGCTGTTGTCTGTGTAGGATTGTATCCAACAGCAATACCTGATTCTACCTCATGCTCCTAATAAGTGAACTCCAGAGATAAGATCATGTTTAATTAAGCAACTATGGAATCACTATTAAAATAACTAAAAAGTAATCCTATCACATTAGACAGGGGTGTGTATTGTACAAGAACACCACTCTCTGACCATTTGGTGCAAATGCAAAAAATAAAATAAACCTTGAAAAAGGTTTGGTGCGAGTGCAAGTTATTTTATTTTTAATGGAAAAGCCTGTCTTTCAAGATGTTAGACAGCGAAGCACTGCTGATCCTGAGCGTGTGGGTGCGTGCGTGCGTGCGCAACTAGCTACTCTGAGAAGGTTCACTGCGCTCCTCCGCCCTCGATACCTGGATCAATGGCGTCAGTCAAATTTACCTCTGAAGCCACCTCAGTAAATTTGTGCTCTGATCTTTGACCTTTCCATAACCACCATAACCCACCTAACCATTCCCCTCATTAGTAGCAGTGATAGAGCATTCAAATAGTTGTTATTAATGCTTAATTAGTTGGATCTGTCAATTTTGCACTGATAGACTAGTGTCCTTTCCAGGGGGTGTCCTTGTACAACAAGCTTCCTCACATTACAGAAACAGGAGCTAGTCTCCTGCTCCTATGAGCCGTTCTGGCCAAGGCTTGTGCAAGGCTACTTACTTTACTTATTATCTATTTCGAGATATATTAAACCAAAAAAAAAAGTGCCATTTTATTTTTGACTTACTGAACCAGACTTACTGAGTCTGACTTTAAGTCATGTATGTTTAAAATGGTCACAATTGGACAGGCTGACAAGGATGTGGATATTCAACAACACTTTGTTTGACTGTTTAGGGCTTCCTAAGATTTATGGTTTAAGAATTTGGATTAATGAATGCTGCTCTTCTCCAGCTTTTAGAATTACAAAATGTAATTTTTGAGTACTTTTATAACAACAACTACGTTTGTAGGCTAAATTAGCATTTTCAGCTACAAAGTTGAGCATGTGAAGGACAAGTTCCTACTTAATTGAAGGGCACCAGTTGTGTGGAAGAAGCTACATTTGAACAATTGGTGGAAATTGGGGGATGACAGAGACAAAACGGCATAACATCAGGGTCATAATTATTAGTGCACACCGTAGAGAGAGAGGTTTTGCAACGGAAAGCGAAAACAAGCTTTTCTAATTGGACAAATTTGAATACGACCCAGGGACCTGGTGGGGGGCCTTTGAATCCCACTCTTCAGGGGGATTTTCAAATCATGATATTTCAGATAAATTATTAATTGGGTAGGACTCAACCCCCATGTTCTATATATGTTTTACATTTGTCTCTTTCCCTCCCTCCCCTTTCCTTTTCCGTTTCCTAATCTTTGCTGACAGCATTATAGAGCATACTTGTGGCAAAATTTTCATAGTGCAAAGTGCAAAAATTTAGAATTAACGTAATCTGGCAGCATGATTTCATTTTAAACTTTTTCTTTCAACAATGTATATGCAGGCAATTATTTTAACTAGAGTTGAGTAAATTGCATATTACATTAATAGTCACCTCTTTATAATGTACATTGTTGAAGTTTCTAATTAAATCACGCTGCATTATAATAAGGTTTATTGTAAGTTTTAAACTTTGCACAATTCTTACACTACATGACGAAAAGTATGTGGACACCTTCTCGTCGAACATCTCATTCCAAAATCATGGGCATTAATATGGAATTGGACCCCTTTGCTGCTATAACAGCCTCCACTCTTCTGGGAAGGCTTTCCACTAGATGTTGGAACATTGCTGCGGGGACTTGCTTCCATTCAGCCACGAGCATTAGTGAGGTTGGGCGCTGATGCTGGGCGATTAGGCCTGGCTCGCAGTCGGTGTTCCAATTTATCCCAAAGGTGTTTGATGGGGTTGAGGTCAGGGCTCTGTGCATGCTAGTCAAGTTATTCCACACCGATTTCTACAAACCATTTCTGTATGGACCTCGCTTTGTGCATGGGGGCATTGTCATGCTGAAACAGGAAAGGGCCTTCCCCAAACTGTTGCCATAAAGTTGGAATCACAGAATCGTCTAGAATGTCATTGTATGCTGTAGCGTTGAGATTTCCCTTCACCGGAACTAAGGGGCCTAGCCCGAAACATGATAGCCCCAGACCGGTATTCCTCCTCCACCAAACTGTACAGTTGGAACTATGCATTGGGGCAGGTAGCGTTCTCCTGGCATCCGCCAAACCCAGATTAGTCCGTCGGACTGCCAGATGGTGAAGCGTGATTCATCACACCAGAGAATGCGTTTCCACTGCTCCAGAGTCCAATGACGGCGAGATTTACACCACTCCAGCCAATGCTTGGCATTGCCTTTGGTGATCTTAGGTTTGTGTGCGGCTGTTCGGTCATGGAAACCTATTTCATGAAGCTCCCGACGAACAGTTATTGTGCTATAATTATAATAATAATAATATAATAATAATAATAATTGGTCATTTAGCAGACGCTCTTATCCAGAGCGACTTACAGGAGCAATTAGGGTTAAGTGCCTTGCTCAAGGGCACATCAACAGATTTTTCACCTAGTGGGCTCGGGGATTAGAACCAGCGACCTTTCGGTTACTGGCACAACGCTCTTAACCACTAAGCTACCTGCCGCCCGTCATTCTCCTAGATGTTTCCACTTCACAATAACAGCACTTACAGTTGACCGGGGCAGCTCTAGCAGGGCAGAAATTTGACGAACTGACTTGTTGGAAAGGTGGCATCCTGTGCCACGTTGAAAGTCACTGAGCTCTTCAGTAAGGCCATTCTACTGCCAATGTTTGTCTATGGAGATTGCATGGCGGTGTCCTCAATTTTAAACACCTGTCAGCAACGGGTTTGGCTGAAATAGCTGAATCCACTAATTTGAAGGGGTGTCCACATACTTTTGTATATATAGTCTATGTTCTATGAACAAGGCTGTTCGTCTTGTGCCGCAAGAATCCACATTTGGATTCATGTCAGCAGTGTCAAACCATGCTTACTGTGTGAAATGGCAAGAAGTATTTTTTCCTTGCCTCACCAACCAGTAACTGGTTTCCATTGAACAGGACCCTAAGTACGTCTGCCTTTCACCCAGCAACAGTGTCTGTACTCTGTAGCGTACTAGCTAGCGCTTTCCTTCCGGTTCACCCATCTAAAAGAACGCTCTCCACACTACTGCATCTGACTGCCCAGTGTAGCAGTATCATCTTCTACACTCACCCCATCATGGCAGACATTCATAGCAGTATAGTCCTTCCCAATCCTGGTCTGGGGGAAAATGTGCATTTTGCTTCCCAGGACAAGGATTGGGAAACACTGATCAATACAGATCGTTATCTAGAGAGTTCTACAGCAGTCTCTGCTTTTAACACAGTTCTAACAGGTCACTCTCTTAGACCACACTCAGCGTGCCCCATTCTCCCCTCTCCACCCTTAGCTAATGACGCTGGCTGGCCCACCCTTGGCAAGGGCAATGCTTCTCTCAAGCCCCCCGACTGGAGGGAGTCTGGGCCGGACACGCAGGGAAAGACTCCCCCTCCGGGCTCCCCCGCTGCTACCACAGCAGAGAAGGTCAGTCTTTACTTTGACATTTATTGTTGTTCATAAAGCTTGAATAGAAATCAAGAGTTGACGCACACCCAAAACTATTGGAGAGGTGCTGACTATAGTAAATATCGAGCATCTTAACTTTTTAGTTTTACATAAGTTAATAAAGCTTTGGGCAAACATATTTTTTGTCTTCAAAATAACCCCTCGCAGCATGCAACATTTCCCCAAATAACCATAACAGGTGAAATAGTTGGGACAGCGCTTCATCCAAAATTAGTTTGGAGATGTATTTGATGATATTAAATAAGTATTGAATAATGAGAATAATTGTTTGCCTCTACCAAGGTGCTGGACTCCAACAAGATGACAGTCTCCTCCCCAGTGGCCCCATCCAAGCCCCAGCCCCCTCCCTACGGCTCCCACCTAACTTCCGCCGGCTCCACCAGCTCTTTAGACCGCCGGCCAGGCCCGCTCCCCAACCCCCCCGGCCCTGTCTGGCCCCGTGTTCCCCCCTCCACCGGCTCCTCCTCCCAGCAGATCCAGCAGCGCATATCGGTGCCCCCCAGCCCGACCTTCCAGCCCAACTTGCCTCTCTTCCCGCCGGGTCTTCCCGGGGATCGGCCTGACCCTGTCCTGGCCGTGGCGGTGCGCCCCTTCGTCCCAGACAGAGGCTCCCGGCCCCAGTCACCGCGCAAGGGCCCGGCCACCATGAACTCCAGCTCCATCTACCACATGTACCTCCAGCAGGCGGCGCCCAAGAGCTATCCGCTCAAGCCTGCGCTCAAAGCAGGTACTAGCAGGGGCCGTTTGGGAGGGAATGAAAATGTTCCAAATCCCAATTATCTTTTGTAGCCCAGTGTGCACTTATTCACTTCCCTTCACTGATTTTGAAAGGTATACATGACTGGTATGCAAATGATTGTGGAAACTCTCACTATCCCATGCCTCCACCAATCCAATGCTATTAGATTTGTGGGAAGTAGGGAACAAGTGCACACTTCAGGAGAAACAAGATATTATTGGGACGCACCCTTGTACCTTGTACCAATACTATGCATCTTTTCTTCCTTGAGGAACTGATTTGTGAAGGTTGGTTAAGTGAAAGCAATATGGTGAACACCATCCTTTCACTTATCCAATCACTTACAGATCATTGAGAGGAAAGAAAGGTGTGTTTTGGAAGAATTGGATCAGGTTGGTGTCTGGGTAAAGTGAAGGAGGGACAGGGGCTTAACTGAAAATCAAAGGAGACTGAAGTCTGTTATATATTTTGCTATTGACTGAGACTTGCATGACAAAGAGCAATGTTGTGAATACTCTTGCTTTTGATTCTTAATACATTAACTGTTGAGTTTTGAGTATCCAGTAATTCATTATTAATTTATGAAAGTGAGTCAGTGAGCAAGTACGTTATTTATATTTTCCACGGTAGTACATCGTTTTTTTCTGTTTTTTTCTTCTCTCCTGTGTGTGTGCAGTGTACGGGAAGCCCGTTCTCCCCTCCAGCTCCACGCCGCCCTCCCCCTTGCCCTTCATGCAGACAGGGGGCCCCTTCCCCGTGCTCCAGGGGCCGGCCGGTGAGGACACTGGGGACAGAGAGGGCCCTGACATAGACGGGGCCCCGGATACCCCCCCGCCCAACGTGGAGAATATCCCGCGGCCCCTCAGCCCCACCAAGCTCACCCCCATGGCCCACTCGCCCCTCCGCTACCAAAGCGACGCCGACCTGGAAGCGCTACGCAAGAAGCTGGCGAACGCCCCGCGGCCCCTCAAGAAGCGCAGCTCCATCACTGAGCCAGAGGGCCCTGCCGGGCCCAACATCCAGAAGCTGCTCTACCAGCGCTTCAACACCCTGGCTGGTGGCATGGAGGGTGGTGCCGCCGGAGCAGGGGGAGCCGGGTCGGGCGGCACGCCATTTTACCAGCCCGCCAACCCACCCGACTACCCCGGCGACTCGTTGGCAGACGCCGACAATGGGAACCCGCTATCTGAGGACCTGCTCCCTCCCCCGCCACCTGCCGTGGCAGAGGGATCGTCCTCAGAGCCCTTGCCGCCGCCTGACGCCAATGACAACAAGCTGCTGCCCCCGCCACCAGCCCCCGAGGGGATCAGTCCCCCCGCCCTGGAGGCCTCGGAGGATACCAACAACAATAACCTAGGGGGAGTCTCGCTGGCCACCCTGCCCAGCCCTGTGCCTGAGGTCAGCTCTCCAGAGGAGGTTGCCACCACCCCCTCGCAGCCAGTGGTGAGGCTCTCACAAAACACTCACAGCAACAGTATGCATGTTCATGTAGCGGAGGTGAGTCGGACTGAGTTGGACTCTCGGTATAATGGTTAAGATGTTGGTTTCCGGAGCAGGAGAAAGGGGTTCTGACCCACCTGTGTCATACATAAACATGTCTGTTTGTGTTTGCACGTACTCTTTGCTAACTGTCCCTTCCCATCCTTCCCCTACAGGAGAAGCGTACTAACCTGAAGAAGCCCAACTCGGAGCGGACGGGTCACGGCCTGAGGGTGAAGTTCAACCCCCTGGCTCTGCTGCTGGATGCCTCACTGGAGGGCGAGTTTGACCTGGTGCAGAGGATTATCTACGAGGTCCGACTCTGTTGCGCGCACATACAATTTGTTTATTTTAGTCATTTAGCAGACGCTCTTATCCAGAGCGACTTACAGTAGTGAGGGTATAGATTTTCATACTTTTTCGTACTGGTCCCCCGTGGGGTCGAAACCACAACCCTGGCGTTGCAAGCAGCATGCTCTACCAACTGAGCCACACGGGACATACACACAGATACAAACAAACAAACAAACAAACACACACACACAAATGCACACAAAAATACACTCTTTATTTGCAGCTATATGAACTGTGCTGACAGCATTGTAAACTAGTCATGTTTTTCAGCAGTGTGTTATTTTGTGTGTGTGCTAGTAAACCTGTCAGAATTTGATTGTTGTGTGTTTGTGCTTGATCTTGCCGTGTCACTTGACATCTGAACTCTTAGAAATGCTCTTAGAAAAGAAATGGAACTTGGGACTAGCTGACCCGTGTTCTTCCCCAGGTGAAGAACCCCAGCACGGCCAACGACGAGGGCATAACCCCGCTGCACAACGCAGTGTGCGCCGGACACCACCACATTGTCAAGTTCCTGCTCGACTTCGGAGTAAACGTCAACGCTGCCGACAGCGACGGCTGGTGAGCAGCTACACACCACCTGCACACAAGGGACCTTAAAGAGGTCACTCATGCATCACCGTTTTTGTTCTATACTGAAAGTGCAGTACTTGAAAACTTGACTGCTGACATGGACACGTTTTGAGGATTGTATTAACATAGTGAATTAAAGAACATAATATTACAGTATAGTTTTTGAGTGAACTATTCCTTTAAGACAGAATTCCCTTGTTTGCATCTTTTTAGCTTCAGTTACGCCACTTTATTAATGCCTCCAAAAACAAGGCTTCATTTATGTTGCGATTTTGCTATTTGTGACATACTTGCTTTCATAGTGTTGTATTTACATCAACATTTCATCCACTCACCTGCACCAAGGAACCCCCTACCTATTTACCAGAGCACAGCTCTTTTCATACATTGTCATTCCAGAATAGATCAGAAATTAGGCAATTCATTTTGCAGCATACATAATATACATACAGACAAAATCACCAATTCTGAAGAAGCCTTGGTCATGGTTGTGTTTTTTAGTGCCTATGATTACCTTTCGTAGAGGCGATTGGGCTCCATGGAACTATTGTAACCCCTCTATTGTGTGTGTGTGTGTGTGTGTGTGTGTGTGTGTGTGTCTACAGGACACCCCTGCACTGTGCAGCCTCCTGTAACAGCGTTCACCTGTGCAAGTTGCTGGTGGAGTCAGGAGCGGCCATCTTTGCCAGCACCATCAGCGACGTGGAGACAGCAGCAGACAAGTGTGAAGAGATGGAGGAGGGCTTCATCCAGTGCTCTCAGTTTCTCTACGGTGAGAACACTACTGGTGGAGGGTCATTGTTGCAGGGAAATGATTGACCGGGTCTTCCTCTGCATCCAAAATGGTACCCTGCTCCCTATCTAGTGCACTACTTTTGAGCAGGGTCCATAGGGCACTAGACTATTGTATTTGTAGTATATATTTGTAGTATATATACAGCTGTGGAAAAAATTAAGAGACCACTGCACATTTTTCTTAAATCAGCATCTCTACCTGTATGACAGCCATTCCATTCCAGTGTCTGTTGAATTCCAACACAGGCACACCTCATTCTACCGAATTAGGTACTGATTAGGTGATCACCTGAACCAAATCTTATTTAATGAGGAAAAGTATAAAAACCACTGCTGTGGTCATCACTATCCTCTTGCAATAGGACCAGCTGGATGGCAAAAACAGTTCTAATAGTACCTCAAAAGTAATATTAATCAAAAAATAACTATTGACCATGCCAAAAGAGTTGAAAATGAAAGTTTTGAGTGAGGAAAAGAAGGGTTCAATTCTGGCTTTACTGGCAGAGGGATACAGTGAGCGTCAGGTTGCTTCCATCCTTAACATTTCAAAGACGGCAGTTCATAAGAACATGGTCAAGCAGAAGACATTGGGGACAACAAAGCTACAGACTGGCAGAGGATGAAAACGACTCTCTACTGACCGGGATGACCGCCAACTAATTTGAATGTCACTCAACAACCGTAGGATGACATTAAGTGACCTACATAAAGAATGGCAAACGGCAGCTGGGGTGAAGTGCACGGCGAGGACGGTTCGAAACAGGCTCCTAGGGGCAGGGCTGAAGTCGCGCAAAGCTAGAAAACAGCCCTTCATCAATGAGAAGCAAAGAAGAGCCAGGCTGAGGTTTGCAAAAGACCATAAGGATTGGACCGTAGAGGACTGGAGTAAGGTCATTTTCTCTGATGAGTCCAATTTTCAGCTTTGCCCAACACCTGGTCGTCTAATGGTTAGATAGAGACCTGGAGAGGCCTACAAGCCACAGTGTCTCGCACCCACTGTGAAATTTGGTGGAGGATCGGTGATGATCTGGGGGTGCTTCAGCAAGGCTGGAATCGGGCAGATTTGTCTTTGTGAAGGACGCATGAATCAAGCCACGTACAAGGTTGTCCTGGAAGAAAACTTGCTTCCTTTTGCTCTGACATTGTTCCCCAACTCTGATGATTGGTTTTTCCAGCAGGACAATGCGCCATGTCACACAGCCAGGTCAATCAAGGTGTGGATGGAGGACCACCAGATCAAGACCCTGTCATGGCGAGCCCAATCTCCAGACCTGAACCCAATTGTAAACTTCTGGAATGTGATCAATAGGAAGATGGATGGTCACAAGCCGTCAAACAAAGCCGAGCTGCTTGAATTTTTGCGCCAGGAGTGGAATAAAGTCACCCAACATCAATGTGAAAGACTGGTGGAGAGCATGCCAAGACGCATGAAAGCTGTGATTGAAAATCAGGGTTTTTCCACCAAATATTGATTTCTGAACTCTTCCTAAGTTAAAACATTAGTATTGTGTTGTTTAAAAATGAACATGAACTTATTTTCTTTGCATTATTCGAGGTCTGACAACACTGCATCTTTTTTTTATTTTGACCAGTTGTAATTTTCTGCAAATAAATGCTCTAAATGACAATATTTTTATTTGGAATTTGGGAGAAATGTTGTCAGTAGTTTATAGAATAAAACAAAAATATGTAATTTTTACCCAAACACATACCTATAAATAGTAAAACCAGAGAAACTGATAATTTTGCAGTGGTCTCTTAATTTTTTCCACAGCTGTATATTCTTAAAGGTAGACTCAGCGTATTGACGTAGATGCAGAAAGTAAACAGTATAGTGGGTCATTTTCCACAACCACTAAGAGTGTTGAAGAGGAGGTTCAACTTCTCCTCTGTTTTGGTGCCTTGGCTACTGTGCTCTCCAACAGCTTGAAGCCAATTAGAATGTCGCTGGATTGGATAGCTGCCGTTTTATGGGCTCCTGACCAATTCTGCAATTTTGTGTGTTTTTTCACACTGATCATAAGTATATTTTTTTTACATAATGTTTCCGCCATTGTTTCCTATGACTGAAAATACCATTTGGACATCAGAATATCAATCACCAACCTCGATTTGGAAGAAGATTTCTACTTCCAACGAGTCGGTGGCGCAGGACATACTGCTCACCCCAAACCAGGCCCTAATCACCGAGACTCAGAGAAGAAAGAGGTGGCGTAAGCAAGGCCAACGTGCGGGCACCCTGATGAAACTACACTGAACAAAAATATAAAGTGTTGGTCCCATGTTTCATGAGCTGAAATAAAACACAAAAAGCTTATTTCTCTCAAATGTTGTGCACAAATTTGTTTAAATCCCTGTTAGTGAGCATTTCTCCTTTGCCAAGATAATCCATCCACCTGACAAGTGTTGCAAATCAAGAAGTTGATTAAACGGCATGATCATTACACAGGTGCACCTTGTGCTGTGGACAATAAAAGACCACTCTAAAATGTGCAGTTTTGTCACACAACACAATGCCACAGATGTCTCAAGTGTTGAGGGAGCGTACAGTTGCCATGCTGACTGCATGAATGTCCACCAGAGCTGTTGCCAGAGAATTGAATGTTAATTTCTCTACCATAAGCCGTAGTTTTAGAGAATTTAGCAGTACGTCCAACCAGCCTCACAACCGCAGACCACGTGTAACCATGCCAGCCCAGGTCCCCCACATCCGGCTTCTTCACCTGCGGGATCGTCTGATGGGTGGTGCTGAGGAGTATTTCTGTCTGTAAGAGAGCCCTTTTTGGGGGGTAAACGAATTCTGATTGGCTGGGCTTGGCTCCCCAGTGGGTGGGCCTATGCCCTCCCAGGCCCACCCATGGCTGCGCCCCTGCCCAGTCATGTGAAATCCATAGATTAGGGCCTGATGAATTTATTTCAATTGACTGATTTCCTTCTATGAACTGTAACTCAGTAAAATCTTTGTGTTTAAATTTGTTCAGTATACATAATATAAACAAGTTATCTTTACTCATTGTGTATTTATTACTTTTATTATTACATGTTATTACTTTTCTATTACTTCTCTCTTCTTCTTCACTGTATTGTTGGGAAGGGCCCGTAAGTAAGCATTTCCCTGGTAGTCTACATCTATTGTTTATGTGACAAATACAATTTTATTTGACCAGTGTGAGAGCGAAGTTTTACATCTCGCTCATATCAATATCTCCGGTGATGTTCGTGGCAACATAATTTTGCTGAGTTTACCTTTAACCATAATGCCTATGTACTGTATATTCTTAACTATAGCTACTTAATATAGTGCCTATGCAACCAATATGTTATATACCATGAAACTTCAATTAATAGCCTGGGCGTTTATTTGCTTAAATCACAGAACATAAAATGTGCTTATTAGAGACAGGCTTCTATTTCCTTAATGCACACAGCATTTGCTCATTTGCATAGTTAATTGTTTTAATTCCAGCATTCACTTCCAGTATTTTAATCATTTTCTTCATTTCCTGCGCTGTTGTCATTTACACACTCATGTTTATTTTGTCTTTGTATGCCTCTATAAATATTTGTATTTTCTTGACATAATGATTCTCCTCTTTGACTGTGCATATTTTTCGGTGTCTCTACTCCTGAATCGAACAGTTGAGTTCTAGCAGTTTCTTACTGCCGATAAAAATAGATTGCAATTTTTTCGAATCATTACTGAATTATTTTAATGTAACAAATCAAACATTAAACCTGGTAAACAATTCAGTGTAATTCATGGTAACCTCGTAAACAATTCATTTAGACCTGCCGTTTATTTGAAACAGCAGTTAATTTGATGACGTGTGCCGTTGCCCGGTTATTAAAAGGGACAGGCGGGTATTTGAGACTCAGCATTTAATTGAGGTTTTTGCGGTAATGAAAACTATAGTTACTTGATATAGTATCTGTGTGTGTTCTACCAGGTGTCCAGGAAAAGCTAGGCGTGATGAACAAGGGGGCGGTGTATGCACTGTGGGAGTACGAGGCCCAGAGCCCAGATGAGCTGTCGTTCGGCGAGGGCGACGCCATTACCATCCTGCGGCGGCAGGACGACAGCGAGACCGAGTGGTGGTGGGGCCGCCTGGACCACAGGGAGGGTTATGTACCCCGCAACCTGCTGGGGGTGAGGCCCATCAAACGCACACATTCTCACACTTACACATACACCTGTTGGGATGAGGCCTGCTCACTGCTTACCCCTGGGCCCATGCGTTGATCCCAGTCTTCAACTACATTATGACTGTCTGTGTTTGGCAGTACTGGACCTCTCTGGTGTATAACCTCTCTACCTCTCTCTACCTTTTCTCTTCCTCTGTAGCTCTACCCCAGGATAAAACCTCGTCAGCGCTCCCTGGCTTAGCCCCTCTGCCTCTTCCTTGGGTGAAAAACTGGACTGCAGGCAGACGTGGCTGAAGACTGGCGGAATGGGGCGGCCTGGTGCTCCCCTACTGTCACAGTTTCCCCCTCCTCCCCTCCTCCCTGGCTATGGGACACTGGACAGTGTTCAACACTGACACACACACAGACCCCAGAGAAAGACAGGATCCCTCTGCTACCCCCTTTCGGTCGACCAAATCCCACTGCTCTCTCACTCTCTTCTTTCAGCTTTATTTAAATCCTGTTGTGTGTGTGTGTGTGTGTGTGTGTGTGTGTGTGTAAAGCTGGAGCACAATGCTCAATGGAGAATCAAGCACTAACCACTAGTGTTTTTTTTGGACACCGCTCAGTCATTCAGCTGACAGGACATTCACCCCTAGTGCTTACCTCTGACGGTTGATGTTGTGTGTCTGTTTGTAGAGGGTAATGTATGAGTGGTGAGTGTGTTTTGTGGTTTCAGTGTGTGTGTGTGTGTGAATAGTTTAGAGGGCCCTGTGTGTTTGGAAAGTGTGTATGTGTTTAAAGAGAGAGGGGTCTTGTGTGTGTGTGTGTGTGTGTGTGTGTGTGTGTGTGTGTACAATAGGTTTGTGACATGTGGATGGTGTATGTGTACCAGTGTTAATTTAGTCAATAACTATGACGAAAAATATTAGTCAACAACCTATTTTTCCGGACGAAAACTAATGACGATAACGAGATGCCATGAAAAACCCCCAATAACTAACAATTGAGTTTTCATTTTAGTTGAAGAAAACGTGACTAGACGAGAATTCCACATGGGACTAATGGACATTCAATTTGACATGAAGCTCCTTTTCATCTGTTATGTCCAATCATAAGCATGCATGCCTTTGTAGAATATGTAATGCAATCCTCTCATTGGCAGAATTAATGTCTTTCAGTTGCGCAGTGTGATTGAGCTGATCTGCCCAGCTCTCCTACACAGCTTCCAGGCGGTCACTTCAGTCACTCGTCAATCTTTTGAACTGATGCGCAGGACACTTCAATTGTAACTAACCTAAACTAGAAACAATGTTTACTCTCGCTTACTTTCATGTAGGCTATTTATGCTTTGATCACATCAGAAACTCTATTTTCCCATATGTTCTGCTATTCATCTGTGTTGCTGCTCTCACGGCCCGCAAATACGAGTGCAGTTTTTCTGATTTGAAAATATGAATGATATTTGCTTAATATTAGGAGTACAGTAATATTTCTGGCATTGTTGGAAAGCTCAGGTTCTCCCCTTTTAAGGGAGTCACTGTTATTTATCCCCATCCCAAGGTTATGATGGGAGAAAAAGAGATGTATGCCTAAATTGTTTAACCTGTAGCCAAGGCTTTATAGCCAATGGCTGGCATTGGTTAAAATCTGCCACAATAGCAATTTGCCAGCTATATGAGGGGATAGTAGGCCTAGGCCTTGTTGGACACGGCTATCTTAATGTGCACATGATGAGTGAATGATTACGTATGATGAGGAGTTTAACAGATCTAGAATGTGTGTTTGCTGTGAAGAGGGGTGAGAGTTTGAGGTCTGTACAAGGGTGTGCCAGATATTATGAATGTTATGTACAATCATAACAGGGATTTTTGAATTTCCCCTCTACTCAATATGAACAAAGAGTACCTATATCAATTCTGTAGGTCGCTTCCTAAGTAATTTCCGAATATGCTGGAATTTTTCAACTTTCCTAACTTTTCCATCATAGCGTCTTTCCCTTTTCAAATGATAGGGTTTCTTCAGTGATTTGACACTGCCCTTCCACATGATAATAAAAAAAAGGCCTACTTAGGTTATTTTCCAAAAGTAAAAAAATATTTCTCAACATTGGTTCCTGGATTTTAGTCCCATGTAAAGCACTCTTCGTTAGTAAAGTGTATTGGATCATTGAAATTCCCCAAAAAAGATAAGATAGACATTTTTTAAATCTTCTCACGGAATGAAGCACTCATCCCCTAATTTTCTTGCACTGTCAGGGCTATGCTATCATAACATACCCTTTTAACTATTTACAATTTGTCACATTGCGTGCCCTGCATTAGTTATAGAAGTTGTCAGCAAAAACACACTTTATTTTAGAATAACTTTAAAGCTTCACTCAACTTGTCAGCTCCTCCAAAGAGGTGTGTCCAACCATTGCCAATGAAGATTGAGATTTGAGATAGAAAGTGGTGTATATGATGAGCGGGGATGCAGTGTCCTATGCGTTTGCTTTAGTGCAGTGAAGGAACCCTCCTTCGGGCAAAACTACGTTTTGTGTGTGAGAGAGATGAGATGCTTCAGGCCTCACTCACCATAGAGCCATGATCAGGGGGGTCCTCACCACTTCACTTCAGGTGAATGTGAAAGTGTTATAATTGAGCACTTGATCAAACCCACGCTCACACACATCCGATGGGTGTGGCCATTCAAGCAGAATTACATTTACATCACACTAAGGTATTATTTTGTTTTATTACCCCTACTTTCCCTGCCTGACCTTGTTTCCAGTCCTGTGAGATGAGATTTGTACCTTGCATGGCAGGCAGGAAAGAGCTTTACCCTAATAATCTCTGTAAATACTGAGAAGGTATGAGATGAGTATGTTTGGACGGTCTGCTGTATGAAGACTCAGTGACTCGTGGGGGTTCTGTAAGCGTTAAGGATGCAATACTTACACATCCTGTTCTGTAAATGTGCACAATAAAAACAATTCCCGGCATGACAATTCGTGTAGTCAGTTTCCTTTTTTTGTGGTCCCATGGTTTGCTTGCAATAATTTTTTTGTCTTCCAGCAGTGGTCACTAACCCTGGTCCTTGAGAGCTGCAGGGTGCTCTCAAGCCCTTTTGTGGGGAAAAACTCATTCTGATTGCCTGGGCCTGGCTCCCCAGTGGCTGGGCCTAGCACCCCAGTGGCTGGGCTGGCTCCCCAGTGGGTGGTCCTATGCCCTCCCAGGCCCACCAATGGCTGTGTCCCTGCCCAGTCATGTGAAATCCATAGATTAGGGCCTAATGAGTTTATTTAAATTGACTGATTTCCTTCTATGAACTGTAACTGTGTAAAATCTTTGAAATTGTTGCCTGTTGCATTTCTATTTTTGTTCAGTTTAATATGAGCACTCTATAGAAAGGGGACACGCTCACAAACATGATTGTGTTCTCTATTTGTGATTAGACTCATCTAAAGGTAACCCATAGAAATGAATGGAAGTATGGAGGTAATTTTGTGACAACAAAAATAATGGGTTAAATATGTGTATATAAATATGTAAACTACCAGTCAAAAGTTTGGACACCTACTTATTCAAGGGTTTTTCTTTATTTTTTACTATTTTTTAAATTGTAGAATAATAGTGAAGACATCAAAGCTATTAAATAACACATGGAATCTTGTAGTAACCAAAAAAGTGTTAAATAAATCAAAATATATTTTATATTTGAGATTCTTCAAATAGCCACCCTTTGCCTTGATGACAGCTTTGAACACTCTTGGCATTCTCTCAACCAGCTTCACATGGAATGCTTTTCCAACAATCTTGAAGGAGTTCCCACATATGCTGAGCACTTGTTGGCTGCTTTTCCTTCGTTCTGGCGTCCGACTCATCCCAAACCATCTCAATTGGGTTGAGGTCGGCAGATGGGGCAATTTCGGCAGAAATGTTGCATATGGGGAGGTTTAAGTCCCTATGAGACACCATGGGTGAATGGAGGGATGTATTGCGAGAGGAAATGGTAGAATTATGATTTATTGTGAAAGATGGGTTGATCTGTGGCTTTCTGAAGGGTGGAATTGATGAGTGTTGGGATAATTATATACACAAATGTACAGTATAAATGTTTGTGGTCCTCCAATTAAGGGTGAGGATGGGGATGGGATTATTGTATGTTTTGTTTTTTGTTATTTATGTTTTGTGATTTTGTTTCATGCTGTGAGCGGTGTGTGTGCTGGTCCTGGTAGTTATGGGTGCGCTCGCTTCTCAAATTCACCATCCAGACTGATGAGAGAAAATGGATCATCGAAGAGAATGATGCATTACACAGAATGCCCTTCTGACTCATGAACAATATTTTAAAATGTAATTTTAGGTTTGGTAACCCCTATGCTTGACATAATTGCTTTTTTAAAACTCTACAATTATTTATTTAACTCTACAAACAATTCCTCACTATAAAGCTATTTCAGAATAAGATGGAATGAAGTGAAGTGTCTCACGAGATTAAAAACCTGTGGTGGAAATACAACACCAGGGACACCTGAAGTCAATATTAAATGAATCACTCTTTATTATCACGGCCGGAGAGGTTCACAAACTCAATCCAAGCTTTATGAAAACTCTGAAAAGGGCGTTCCCTTTCAGTCCTTATATACTGCTACACAAACAAGTCATGGAAGCATAATTTACATTATTCATTATTAACGTTGGTTCCTGCATGTGACTGACTGATACCTCACGAGGCTTCTTCTCTTAAAGCTGGGACCTTGAAACTGAGATGTTCCTTTTGTTCCCAGAGCAATGTTCTGGGCGTACTGCCAATTGATCTGAGGAGGAGGTCACAGTCACCTGCACGAACCAGTGAGAGGAGATGCTGTGTACAATTCAAGGCTATCTCTTCAGACAATACCATTTTCCCTCACACTCCCTCTGTGATAATTATTGTTACATTTTAAGGTAAGCATTAGATTATGGCTTAAACTATCAAAGGGGGTTCTATCCAAATACTTAATAAAGTAAGCGAAATCAACACATAAAACTAGAAACTTTATCTTTTCAAACCCTTCACTCTGGGTTGTACAATGTAAAATACACACACATACACAAGTGATCTGTAGACTCAGAGGTAAATACATCTCAACGGTTAACCATTGTTTCCATGGCTCTTACCACAATCGGGTTGCATTGACATTGACATTTTTTACATGTTCTGTACTAACTGTCCCTGGGACATCAACTAGTCAAAATATAAAACCTGTTTAACAAATCAACTAGGGCCTTCAAAAAG